AAATGAAACGTTCTTTGTAAGAGTGTGGAAACCTCTCTCCAATCGATCCGTTTTAAAAATCTTGAGAGGAAGTCGGGAAATCTCTCTCCAACCAATCCGTTTTAAAAACCTTGAGAGAAAGTCGGGAAATCTCTCTCCGGCCGACCCGTTTTAAAAACCTTGATAGGAAGCCCAAAAGGGAAAGACTAGAGAGGACAATATCGGCTGTCGGTGGGGCTAGACATCTCTCTCCAGCTGACCAATTTTAAAAACCTTGAGAGAAACCCCAAAACGAAAAGATCAAAGAAGACAATATCTGTTGTCGGTGGACTTGGGCATTCCTCTCCAGCCCACCCGTTTTAAAAAATTTGAGAGAAAACCGAAAATGGAAAAACCAAAGAGAACAATATATGATGTCTGTGGGCTTAGACAGCTAAAAATAGCTAAAAATAAAATAAAATAAAGGTTTTAAAAACTACTATTTTAATATTAAATATTTTTATTTTTTAAATTTCATTTAACTATTTTTTTCAATAAACATAAAAAAAAAATGAAAATAATTTATTGAATTTTGTGAATCAGGCTAGAAAGAGTGAACTTCAAGAAGGTTCGTAGCATTGCAAAGGTGGTCGGAACATTGGTGACGATCGGCGGAGCAATGGTGATGACTCTATACAAAGGACCCATCGTCGACATCTTCCACGGCCAAGGACGCCATGCCGCCCACCAAAGCAGCGGCAGCGAATCCTCCGACCAGCACTGGGTCCTCGGCACTCTCATGCTCCTTGGCAGCATCGTCGGTTGGTCCGGCTTCTTCATCTTACAAGTAATTCTCGAAAGTTCTCTATTTATAATCACAAAAGATATGAAAAAAAATAATAATAAATGAATACAAGATATTTATCTCCCATAAAAAAAAAATATATATATATATATAATAATGTCTGACTCTGGCGACCCTGTTTTTAGTCGTTCACACTGAAGAAATACCCGGCAGAGCTGTCGTTGACCGCCTTGATATGTGTAGCCGGCACGGTGGAGGGCTCCATTGTTACCCTTATTATGGAGCGCGACATGAGCGTCTGGGTCATCGGCTGGGACTCTCGGCTTCTCGCCGCCGTTTACACCGTAAGCCAAAAATAAATAAATAAATAAATAAATAATTCTCCTTTTATTATTTAAATAATTAATTAAACAAATATAAATATATTTTTAGGGTGTGATATGCTCTGGACTTGCATATTACATACAAGGCGTGGTAATTCGTGAACGTGGCCCTGTTTTTGTTACCTCTTTTACCCCTCTCTGTATGATTATTACCGCCATCCTTGGCTCCATTGTTTTGGCCGAGCAAATTCACCTCGGAAGGTAACTTTTTTCTTACCTTCCCATAATTAATAATAATTTAGTTTTTTAAAATTAAATTCATAATTAATTTTTTAAATATTTAAATTTGCAGCATAATCGGAGCCATTTTCATAGTGATGGGACTATACTTAGTGGTATGGGGCAAAGCCAAGGACCATATAAACAAACCGACGAACCAAAAAAGCGGCGCCGCCACTGAATTACCGATCACCGCCGAGCCGGAAACCACCACCACCACTCTCTCCGCCGAGCGCTGCTCTTCCAAGGCTCCACCGGCGTGATCATTGTGAGAGCTGTCGAATCATGAAGAAATGAAAGAGGCGGCCCATTTTTATTTTGTCAACTTTTTGGTTTTTCGTTAAATTTTAATTTTCTCATCGGCATCTTAATATATATAAATGTTGGGGTGTTTTTCGTCTTTTTCTTTCTTTTTTTTTTTTGGTGGGTTTAAAATTTAAATATATATATATTTATAAATGTTCGAGTTTTGGCTCGTGTTCTCTCTTTGTAATATGTAGAAACTATGGGGCTTCGAGTTTATTACGATGATGTTTATAAAGATCGTATAATTCTACATATATTTTGTTGCGTTTTCTTCTGATTTTAAATAAAGAAATTACGTTATTAATTTAATAAAATTGGTCGTCTGTATTTTCAATCCACGAGACACTGTGACTAAGTCGAGCAAACAGTTTGTAGGAGCTTACTACTCTTTATATATTTTTGTTCAGTTATAGAGACGTTGTCGGCAGGTTTTTATCATGTGGGAGAAGTAAAAAGCTCGTAGGGACCAGTTCACCACTCTCTATCTTTCCATTTAACCTATGGAAAGACCGACACCTGGTTTATCATATATGGTAAGCAAAAAGCTTGTTTGGGCTCACTGATCTCCGTCTTTTCATTCAATTTCTGGAGACTATTGTTGTTGGGTCAATCATGCATGTGGAGATCAAGCAAAAAGTTTACGGGGGCTCACTACTCTATCTTTTCTTTATGTATTTCCGTCGTTTAGTTATAAATCAAAATTTTTAGATCCAGCTGGAATATAAGCAGCTTCACGTGAGTATACTGTTATTATCGATTCCGGGAAATACTCAGTAATCGTCGTTTGAAAAAAAACAAAAGATAAAAGGAAAAGAGAATGAATCCTATAACAATTTCAAAGGTGGACATGATGAGATTCTAAAATAAAGGAGATTGAACGTGGAAATGAAAGAACATTCACCATGGCTTTATTAAAAAGAACTTTCACGTCGAGATAGGGATTAAAGAAACTTGCAGATGACCCGAACAAAGACTCGTTTCGAGAATCTTTTAGGGTTAGCCTCCGACTTTCGAGTAAATTTCAATTGTACCCTCAAAATTTAAAGGATTTTCAGTTTTTATTTTTTATTCAGAAGGTCGTGGTAATATAAGTAGTGTGTTACCTACGTAGGGAGAAGACCGGTTGACTTTTAACGGCAAATGCGGTTATTGTCTGTCGTTAGACTATGGTTGGTTAAGGAAAAAACATGTTGGCATACCATTTACGGACATGGTAAAAGAGTCTATAGAATGCTGTGTCTTGATCGCAAAGGTAACTAGCATAGCCGATGCGATGAACAGTGAGATGACGTAACTTTAAGAGAGAGGGGCGGGGTCTAAACAACTATACTGCTACTATACCACGAAAATTCCACGAGTGTATTAGTTGATTGACTGGACTGAGACTTTGATATCAATCACTTTGGTAAGAAAAAGAAAATAGCTTAAATCATAAGAGAATCAAGATTCCTAGAAGGTTCGGTTCACCAAGTTCTACCATAGCAGTGTCCAATCATACTCAAAATCTGAGTTTAATCATGGCTCATAAGGAACGCTAGCTATATATGCTCAGTGTTAGACGAACACGACTCTCCACAATGGTATGATATTGTTCACTTTGAGCATAAGCTCTCATCGCTTTGCTTTGGGTTTCTCCAAAAGGCCTCATACCAATGGAGAGTGTATTCTTATATTATAAACCTATAACCATTCCCTAAATTAACCAATGTGGGACACTTTCATCCAACACTCAGCACATGCAAGTCAAACGTCTTTTAAAGGGATGTGAATAGTTGATAACAAAGTGGCGAACGGTCCGTGGTCAATAACTAGCTAGGTTTCTTTTTTTTTTTTTTTTTTTTTTTTTTTTTTTTTT